CTCTATATCCCCTCGTTCTCTCAGAACTTGGTGGGTGTTGGATACCTTCAGAACCGGGGGATCACTGTCACTTTTCCTGCGCACGGGAGGACTGCGATCTGTACGGACTCTTCCACCGAGGCAGTTCTTGCCACGTTCACCAGAGAGCCCCACTCAGGTCTCTTTGTCCTGCACACTTCGCCCCCGCAGGTAGCTGCGTCTGGTCAGGTTGCTTCGTCCCCCCCGGTAGCAGAGTCCGGTCAAGTTATTGTATCCCCACAGGTTCCTGTGTCCGGTCAGGTTGATGTGTCCGATTAGGTTGTTGTGTCCGGTCTAGTTGCTGCGTCTTGCTCCTGTCGGTCCCTAGCCCACCCGACCGTCTTGTGGCACCACCGCCTTGGCCACCCGTCACTCCCCCGCCTCCGCAGCATGGCCAGTCACAATCTTGTCTCAAGTCTCCTGCGCGTCTTTCTGTCGCTCCCTCCCTCGTTTTCTCCACCTTGCACTCCTTGCGTCGCCGGCCGCCTGCGCGCCACTCCGCACTCCTCCTCCCTTCGTCCGGCCACTGCTCCCTTCCTGACTCTCCACCTGGACGTCTGGGGCCCTGCCCCTACGCTCAGACCTGAGAAGGAGCGCAACTTTCTAGTGGTCGTTGACAAATACTCCAGGTACACCACGGTGTTTCCTCTCGCGAAGAAGTCCAAGGCGACTGCAATGCTGATCCGGTGGCTTCTGGCCACTGAGGGCACTCGTGGTAGTCGTGGTTGTCTCCACTCCGACCGTGGGGGTGAGTTTCTCTCCGGCGTCCTTGCCGGGTTCTGGGGCGAGCAGGGCATCAGACAGTCCTGGACGCTGCCAGAGTCCCCACAGCAGAATGGGGTTGCTGAGCGCCGCATTGGCTTGGTCATGGACATCGCCCGCACGTCCATGATCCATGCCCGTGCGCCCCATTTTCTGTGGCCCTACGCGCTTCGCTACGCCGCGCACCAGCTGAACCTCCAGCCGCGTGTCTCGCGGCCAGAGGTTTCACCGACCAGTCTTTGGACCGGGTCCCCTGGTGTTGGGTCGGTCTTTCGTGTCTGGGGCTGCCTTGCGCTTGTCCGCGACACCTTTGCGGACAAGCTCTCGGCTCGCGCCATCCCCTGTGTCTTCCTTGGTTTCCCGGTGGGCTCTCTCGACTACTCCATTTCCCACCCGCCCCTCCACCAGTTTCTAGACTCTCGTGACGTCCGGTTTGACGAGTCAGCGTCCTACTACACCCGGTGCCCCTGTCGAGGTCTCCTGGTTCCCCCTCCCCCCCTCTTCCTCGCACCCTCTCTTCCCCCTGCTCCCGCTCCTCCGGTACCCCCACCCCCCCCCTGGTCCTGCCCCGTCAGGTGTGTCTCACGCTACCCCTCTACCCTCGGTCGCGCGTCAGGTAGCGTCTCCCTCCCCGCAGTCCTCCTCACAGTCTCTTCAGCAGCCTTCGGCACTTCCGCGACAGGTTATTGTGGACTCGGTTGGTGTTGGAGCTGGAGGTGCAGCCACTGGCGGTACTCGGTCTGGGGGTGCTCGTTCGAGGGGTGCTGGAGCTGGAGGTGCTGGCGAAGGTGGCACTAGCTCTGAGGGTCCTGGAGCTGGAGGTTCTGGCACTGGAGGTGCTAGTTCTGGGGGTGTTGGAGCTGGAGGTGCTGGCACTGGAGGTGCTAGTTATGGGGGTGCTGGAGCTGGAGGTGCTGACACTGGCGGTGCAAGTTCCGGGGGTGCTGGAGCAGGAGGTGCTGGCGCTGTAGGAGCTGGTACTGAGGAGACATGAGCTGGAGGCTCGCCTACTGCGTCGCCCACTGCGCCTCCCCACCGCCACGACACTCGTTTCCAGGCCCTTCGCCGGCTTGAGCGCGAGGAGCAGGAGCAGTTGGCGCGGGAGAGGCAGGAGTTGCAGCGGTTGGACCAACAGCAGCAGCAGCAGCAGCAGCCGTCACTTTTGCAGCAGCTGTTCCCTCCAGTGAGTGGCCTTCGGGCCCTTGGTCTTCCTTCCTCTCCTCCTATTCACTCACAGTCTCCTACCGCGTACGGTCCTACGTTTCCTCCTCCGGACTCGACACTGGCTGTTTTCTCTCCTCCTCAGTCACCGTCGCCTCCTCCTGTTGTCCGGCACGACTGGACCAGTCGTTGTCCTCCACGTGCTCGGCCCTCGTCTCCTCTTGCCGACCTCCGCACCGTCTTGTTTCGTTCTCCTCCTCGTCGTTCTCCGCCTGTGTCTGTTCTCCCCTCACCTCCTGCGTCGTCTCTCACCGTTTCCTCTCACCCTATCACTGACTACTACCGTGCTGATCGCCCTGTTGTCTCTCGTGTTCTCGCCACTCTTGTCACCGACCCTCGTGCCTCTCCGTCGTCTGTCTCGGCTCTTACTGCCGTTGTCGCTGACTTTGCTTCCACCCGCCGTCTTGACTACGCCACGCGTGTGGTGGCTGCTCAACCTCCCCGTCCTCTGTCCGTCGGGGGTGAGTCTGCCCTTGACCGTGACGTCCTAGAGGACAGGCAGTTTGAGCTGGAGTTCTTAGCAGCCGCTTCCCCCTCTCTCTGCGCCATGCTGCTTTCCCTTGAGGGAGACCCCGACGCCCTTGACATACCGACACCTCGCACGTGCCGTGAGGCAGTGTCAGGGGAGTGGGCCTCTCAGTGGAAAGCGGCCATGGATGCAGAGCTAGCGTCTTGGAGATCCACATGCACGTACGTCAACGCAGTTCCCACTCCAAGGGCGAACATTGTCGATGGCATGTGGCTCTTCAAGGTGAAGCGGCCGCCTGGTTCACCGCATGTGTTCAAGGCGCGCTACGTGGCTATGGGTTTTAGTCAGCGTGAGGGAGTTGACTTCTTCCAGACCTTCGCCCCGACCCCGAAGATGACCACTCTTCGGGTGTTACTGCACGTAGCAGCACAGCGAGACTACGAGTTGCACTCCCTTGACTTCTCCACTGCGTTTCTTCAGGGCCGTCTACACGAGGAGATCTGGCTGCGCCGTCCTCCTGGCTTCACTAACACCTTCCCACCTGGGACCCAGTGGAGCCTGAGGCGGCCAGTCTACGGTCTCCGCCAGTCGCCCCGTGAGTGGCACGACACTCTTCGCTCCACACTTCGTGACCTTGGATTTCGTCCTTCCTCTGCCGACCCGTTGGTGTTTGTTTGCACCGGTTCCACTCCTTTCTTTATGCTAGTGTACGTCGACGACTTGGTCTTTGCTACAGCAGACAGGGCAGCTCTGACTGAGGTGAAATCCGAACTGCAGAAGAGACACAAGTGCACAGACCTCGGTGAACTGCAGCGCTACCTTGGCCTGCAGATCACCAGGGACAGAGCCGCTCGCACCATCACACTGACTCAGTCACACATGGTGCAGCAGGTCCTTCGGCGGTTCGGGTTTCAGTTCTCCACCACACAGCCCACTCCTCTTGCCGTTGACCACCGACTCACTGGCCCTTTTCCCGACGAGCCCTTTGAGTCTAGTGGCCCCTACGCAGAGCTTGTGGGCTGCCTCATGTACCTGATGACTTGTACTCGGCCGGGCCTCGCCTTTCCCCTCAGCGTCCTCTCTCGCTTTGTTGCGACTGGGAGACATCGTCCTGTTCACTGGACATCTGCTGTGAGGGTGGCGAAGTACCTGGCGACTACATCAGGCATGGGGCTTGTGCTTGGAGGGACACAGCCAGTTTTGTTGACCGGTCACTGCGACTCTTCCTACGCTGACGACGTGGAGACTCGGCGCTCGACTCAGGGTTACTACATCAGTCTGGGTGCTGGTGCTGTGTCGTGAAGGTCTACACGGTCGTCGTCTGTGGCTTCGTCCAGTGCAGAGGCAGAGATATACGCTGGTGCCATGGCGGCACAGGAGCTTCGCTAGTTGACCTTCTTGCTCACCGACCTTGGTGAGCGGCCTCGCTCTGCACCGACCTTGTACGCTGACAACAAGGCCATGATCCTCCTGTGTCGAGAGCCTCGACTGGAGAGCAGAGTGAAGCATGTTGACGTGAGGTACTTTCTCCTGCGAGAGCTACAGCGACGCGGCCAAACACGCTTGGACTTTGTGGCCTCAGAGGCCAACACTGCCGACGTCTTCACCAAGGCCTTGGCGCCTGGTGACCACCACAAGTTCTGTGTGTAGCTAGGGCTTGTTGAGGTAGGCCCACTGTTGCTGTAGTGTTGCTCTTGTTGCGTATTCTGCTTGTCATTGCCTTTATATATATTGTGCTCTCTTGAACTGGCCTTGTGGCCGCTTGCTTGTGCTCGGAATTTGTGTGGTGTCCTTGAGATCCACCCTGAGCTTGCTTTGCTTCTTGTATTGATTGACTGGTCTTGTGACCGTTTGTTCACCGTGCTTGCTTTGATGCCCCTCACTTAGCCTATGGGGGTGTGTCAAATGTTATTATCTGTTATAGGCTGTAGTGAGGTGCTCCTTAGTGAGTACAACTCAGTTAGGGTTTCACATTTGTACTGCCTTGCTTTCCTAGTCTCATGATTCCGCTACGCATCACTCTCGAGACTTCGCTCATACTTTTGACCCACATAGTGCAATCATCGCTACCTCGTTCCATTGCACCCGTAACAAGTATCGTGTGAATCGTGATTGAAGAGTCGCCAAAAATGATGCTGCCAACGATTCATGGATTCAAGTTTAGCACCAGACAAGCTATAATTTTGTCAATATTATTTTACGGTACCTTGGCACCTGTAAGCATTGTTTTTTATGTTTCCAGTTGTCAAGCTGTAGCTACAGTTTTGAAAACCAGGAGTAATTTTTAATAATATACAAGTTCCCGGAGACAAGCAACCCACAAGCCAAAGAATGAATAGTTGGGAAGTCAAGACACCACACAGCTCTACACCTACTTTGCAACCCTGTTCTCCTATCATACACCTGCCTCCTCTCAAAGCACTCGGCACAGCACTGCTGCACCACCGCATGGCACACACGGGTGCAGGTGAGCAATGAGAGTAGAATATTAGCTGGCAGCCCGGCGCCATGGTGCGCTGGAAGGCGCGCGTCACTTGAGCTTGAGAGGCTGCACCACGATGACGGAGCGCACGGCATGCCCCCATTGGTCGCGCCACGTGAGGCTGCCGTACGAGAACGCCGTGCTGCCCGTGCGGTTGGCCACAATGGTCACATTGAACGGCACCGTCTCATTGGGCGCGATGCTGAAGCTGGCGGGCTTCACGGTGAGCAGCACCCCATCCGGCACCACAATGTCCGCCTTGTACGTGCTCGTAGCGTTGCCCACGCTCGTCACCTCGCGCATCACCACCACGGTCCCCACAAACCGCGTCACGGAGATGGAGGCGCGGTTGAGGTTGTACGCCTTCATGGCCTTCACTGGCATGCTCTTGAACGCTGCCTTGGCCTTGGCCAGGTTCTGCCCGGCAAGGAAGTTCTTGAAGTCGAGTGCATCGGCGTCGTACACCAGCCCTACATCCAGCAGCCCCATCGGGTTCACGTGCCCTGCGCCCATGTCCCACGGCGTTGCAAAGTCGCTCGACGAATCCCGAATGCCGAACCCCTTGTTGTTGCTTGTTGCTGCTGACGTCATGATGGCTGACATGACCATGGCAGGCGTCCACGTGGGGTAGCGCTGCACGAGCAGTGCTGCAATGCCCGCCACGTGTGGTGTGGCCATGGAGGTGCCGGAGAGCGCGGAGAAGTAGCTGTTGGGGTCGCCCAAGTACTGCCCCGGGCCTGCACTCCACAGCTCCACACCCGGCGCAATTATGTCGGGCTTGAGGATGTCGTTGGTAGGCTTGGGGGCGGCGGGGTTGGCAGTGGGTTGCATGAGGGGGCCGCGGGAGGAGAAGGACGCGATCAGGGGGGCCTCGGGCGTGGACCGAGTAGCGGCCGAACTGGGGGGAGGGGGAAGGGAAGGGGAGGGGGTGAAGTGCAGGGAAGAGCAAGTGGAGCTTGAGTGTGCAGTGTCTGATGAACAGCAGCGGGTGGTGGAGTGTTGTGAATGAATAGAGACTGAGCATGGGCGAGCACACAAGTGAGCAGCGAGCAGCACGTACGTGATTGAGCCGGACATGAAGGCTCGCACCGACTCCATGCTCTCTTTCACCGTCGCCACTCCCGCACTACCCTTGCTGCTGCTGCTGCTGCTGCTGCTGCTGCTGTTGCTGGTATTGGCAGTGGCAGCGGCAGGTGCAGAGTTTTCAGTGGCGGTGGTGCGCTGGGAGGAGGAGGCGGACTCCTTGGCGGCTGACTCCGAGGCAGCAGATGAGGACGTGGAAGTGGGCGGGCGGGACGACGCGCTCACGGATTTGGCTGTCATGGCGTATCCACGGCTGATGGAGCTGTGGCAGGGACGAGCAGGACACGCCAGATGCAGGGAGGAGGGCGGAGGTTCAACGGGGTGAGTGGATGGAAATGCGGCATGGGACCGAACAGGGTGGACTGCTACATGAATGGACGGAGGAAAGGCAGAACACGCATGGTGAAGGAGGGTGTGTGAGCTTGTACGTTGATGCGTGTGTGCGCATGCGTGCATGCATGGGAGAGCATGGCATCGCACCTGGCGCCGACGGTGATGTACCACGGGGCAAAGTTGTCCACCGTGCGGTACTTGCCCCCCGACTGCCACGGCGCCCCCGCGTTGCCCGCTGCAAACGCCACCACCACACCCGCCTGCACAACACACAGCGGCCGAGAGCGGGGCAAGGCAGAATCGAATGGGTCAACAGGGGCGTGTGGGCGCGGCAGGAGTGCCAAAGGAGCAAGGGGCGAGGACGGGTGGAAGGGAGGGGGCGGGGTGAAGGGAGGGGGCGGGGTGAAGCGAGGGGGCGGGGTGAAGGGAGGGGGCGGGGTGAAGCGAGGGGGCGGGGTGAAGGGAGGGGGCGGGGTGAAGGGAGGGGGCGGGGTGAAGCGAGGGGGGGGGGAGGGGTGAAGGGAGGGGGCGGGGTGAAGAGAGGGGGCGGGGTGAAGAGAGCAGAGCAGGGCGAGGGAGGAGCCCAGCAGCCTGCGGAGAACAGGACACCAGCGGCCCACAGCATCAGGCGGGAGGCAAGGGAAAGAGGAACAAGGCTTTCACTACGAGCTGCCAAGCAGCGGAGGGGTGGGTGGGCGGGGCGCTCACGGCGAGGGCGTTGAGGTAGGGCAGGTCGTTGAAGTAGGTGGCGGTGGGGTCCTCGGCGCCCAGCGACAGGGAGAGCACGTCCACTCCGTCCGCCACGGCCTGGTTGATGGCCGCTGCAATGTCCGCGTCCGTCGCCCACACGTACTGCCCGTCGTTCCAAAACACCTTGTACGCTGCTATGCGCGCACGCGGCGCCATGCCGCTCGCCGTGCCCAGGTTGTTGCCCAGTACTAGCCCGCCGTTGCCCGCTGCCGCGCTGGGGGGGGGAGGGGGAGGGTGAAGGGGGGGAGAGGGGAGGGGAGGGGGAAGGAGGGGTGTGAGTGAGGAAAGGGAAGTGGGGCGAGGTGAGGTGATGTCTGCGGGGACTAGTGGTGTGCACTGGGAAAGCAAGGGAGGAGGGGTCGAATGGGAGAAAGCCCACTCAGCCTAAATCCCTCGCCAAGAGCCATGCACTCACCCCGCACACCACGTGCCGTGGCCGTCGTCGTCGCGGGGTGACACGTAGTTGTGGGAGGAGTCGAGGCGGTTGCGGTTCTCGCGCTTGAACCCCGAGTAGAACGCGCGCGCGCCCACGATCTTGCCGTTGCACGTCGTCGCGGGGAAGTCGCTCGTCACCGTGCACGTGCCCGTCCACTGCGAGGGCGCCTTGCCGTACACGTGCGCGGACTGTGGGGGCAGGGGACGTGGGGGGGGAAGGAGGGATGGGTGCGGAACGGAACATGCGCCGGAGAGAGTGCAGGTATTTGAGAGGCAGGAGGAGGAGAAGGAGAGTGCGGAGGAAAGTAAAGCGAACGGCTCTAGAATGATGTTTGCGCGGGCTCTGCGCCTAGGGGGAACGGCGGCGAGGGGGGGGTGGAAGGAAGGGGGCTTGCGCACGTCGTTAGCGAAGGACTTGTGTTCGGGCCAGATGCCGGTGTCTATGATGCCCACCACCACGCCCTCCCCCGCGCTGCTCTGCCCGCCCGCCGCGGCCCACAGCGACGGCGGCAGCTGCAGGAACGCGGGCGACGCGGTCGTGAGGCGGCGCACGACGCGGCTGCGCGTGACGCTGAGCACGTCCGGGTGGCGCTCCAGCTGGTGCGCCTGCTGCGCCGTCAGCGTCGCCGCGAAGCCGTTCGACACGTGCGTGTAGCTGCGGGGGCGGGTGGGGGCCGCGGGGGAGGGGGGAGAGAGGAAGGGAACGGGGAACGCGGGGGTGGACGTAGTGCGTGAGGGGGGCTGGGGATGAGAGAGCCGAGTGAGAGCAGCGGATGATGAGGAGGGTACAGCGCGGCGTGGCGTGGGAGGGATCGAGGAGGCGAGGAGAGTGGGCGAGCAAGGAGAGAAGCGCGGGTTGGGAAGTGTGCGAACGGGGGGGGCATCCGAAATCTGGGAAATCTCCGTCTACCCCTACCTGCTACTCCCACCGGCGGAGAACTCCCCCATGCGCATCTGCTCGCTCTTTCCCGCCCACCCATCGCGGCGCTCTCACCTGTAGAGCAGCTTGTTGGCCGCGAGGTTGACGTCCCGCGCCACCTGCTCCTGCTGCCGCTTCAGGAAGTCCTTGAACGCGCGAACAGCGTTTCCCCGGAAGTTTATCCGCGGACGACGGCGGAAGAGGCGCCCCGCGGCATTGAAGAAGCGCGCGACGGCCGCAGTGGCGGGATACCCCGCGATGCCGCCCGTGTACTCCGAGACGGATGGCGCGGATCGCAGCTGCACCAAGTAGAGCGCGGAGTCTGGGGGAATGCGCGTAGGGGGATCGCGGAGCGAAAAAACCAGGCGAATGGCAATGCGGGGAAGAGGAGGAGAGGGTGGGCGGGGAAGGGAAGGGTGGGGGGAAGGAGGAATGGGAAGTGGTGGGGGAATGGTGGAGTTCCCAGACGAGGCGCGTAAAACAAGGCGACAGATAACGGGAAGAGAGGTTTGGGGAGATTACAAAAATAAGACGGACGAACTCTAACATGGAGGTAGTAAGTAGGGCTAGGACGTACCATCCTGGGCGAGAGTCGTGGGGGGAAACAGTAGCGCGACGAGGGCCAAGGCGAGGAGCGTCACGGCGCTCCAAGCTGCTGTTCTGTGGGTGCGCAGCGGCGACGACGACAGAGCAGCCCGCCTTAACCGCACGCGATTCATGGCGTTGTGGTGCAGCGGGGAGGCTGGGTACACAACGGTTTGACCCACTGGGGTGTACTCTATCCGGGTCGTTTGGATCTAGACTCAGCGAGCTACCGTGGCCCTATTGATGTGACGGCATGCGCAAGCTAGGTCGCTGAGTGGCAGAGTGCGGATGCGGCGCGCAATGCAGCGAAGGTGAAGCGTTCGAGGGTCTGGGGGATTCGGCTGTGAGGGCAGGTGGGAGGTTGCCTAACAGCGCGAATGTGGCAGTCGAAGAGAGGAGAAAACGGGAGGAGCTTTGCGGCTGGGCCCACCTGATATGCAGGCGAACGCGTGGAGTGCTACCGATACGAGTATGGCGTAACGCTAAGTCGGAGTGGTTCAAGTCTGTTGATCCTTTTTCATGACCTTGTGCTTGCAGGTGGAATTTAGAATTGACCAGTGGTTATCGTGAGGGGCAAGGATTCATCAAGCTGTCGCGACAGCAGAAGTATGGGGTCTTGGGGAAATGGGATGGGGGGGAGGTGTGATGAGCAGTGCTGTTAGCTCATAGCTGGTGGAAGGCGGGTGCAGGAGAGATGGGATGGGGAAAGCGCGTTGGGTCATATGGTAATAAGGTTCGTTTCACGAGGTTAATTGCGTTTACACATGGTCAACTACGGTTACAGTCATTCACCTCTTTTGACCATTCCGCACCAGCGAAAACCGTATCACAAAAATCACACAAACAGAACATGGAGGACCCTCATGAGAGCCTTCATCATGATCACCACAGATGGCTAATGGTGCGGCGACTCGAGTCGAGAGAGGCCTTGTTGCTTGGTTGAGGGATGCAGTGCCACGTCAGAAAACCGAGGTTGGTGGGGGCGGCGGGGAGAGGGTGGAAATCTGGATGGAGTCTGTGATGTGAAGGGGGAGAGGTTGGATGGAGTCCGCGGGGCGCGCGCGCTGTATACACATGATATCCAACGTTTTCATGTCCATACGAACGGAAACCCTACTTTAACTGGCCACTATTGTTATATTACGGGTGGCCAAGATACGCTACAGTCCAAACACGGGCACCCGTATCTTGCTTGAATAAGCAGAGACAGATATTCTTTAGCCAGGTTCTTATGTAGAATGAGAGTTCGATTAACATAACGTAACGTTTACAAGAATGCATTTATTTCCCAGTCGTAACTGAGTAAAAATGGAAGTGTATTCCCAGCATATAGAAGCTCAAATATCTGCCGTTCTGTCAACAAATAAAATAGGTACGATAAGGCCTCTTCCCGCCTGTGCTAATATGGGAAACCAGTGTAGTGTACTTTTCCGCGCAAAAGGACAAAACATTGAGGTCTAACCGCGTACACCAGCAGCGCAATTCCTGCAATTGTGTCTGGTTAGGAAAGAAAACATGGCTTGTTTCTTCACGAGGGAGTGTCGCCACCTTGTCTGCAATAAAGTGCTGGTGTATTCTAGCCACAGAATGCTCAGAAGCCGTTTCTTATGGAAGTCGGAAGGGATGCAATGAGGGGTAGCTGTGCGCTTTGAACACGTTCTGAATATCGCACTGTAGCATGGCGATCGCAGGTGAGACGGAGGGGAAGGGGTGGTGAAGCGGGCAGGAGCTGGTCAGGTGGAAATTGTTTTCCAGCAGGTGGCTAGTCAAGTGGCACTGAGCTCTGTAGAACAGCCCCAAGTTCTATTGATCCCAATGTCCAACCCCATGACGGTGAGGAAGGAAATGATGTCAACACCACCCACAGGAAACTCCTGAAAGTAGCTGGGAACGGTGATTAGGGAAAGTGCTAAGTTGGATGAGTTCCTGTGGGGACAGATGTGTGGGTAACGCGACGAATGCACCTGAAAACATGTACAGAGGGCAACTTTCCAACAATTGAGGACACGCATGGCTTACACGTCTATATACAAGATGTGAATACACTACTACTCACAATACATTGAAGCATGCTAATGACATAGGCCCAATCTCCTTTGATAGCCCAGATCAGAGGCGATCAACAACTTCCTGGAAGCCAGGAAGCCAAGTTCATGCAATCGGGGGCAATGCATTGATCGCCCCAACTCGATCAACCGCCTCAATTAGCCCAATCAATCACGATTTACTACAATAACTGACGTTAAATTTGTTGACGGGAATTGGCACCGCCCTCGCTTGGGCGAAGCAGACTTCGCAGTCGGGGGGGGCGCGCAGAAGTCGCCGTAGACTGCACGCAGAGTCCGACCTCGACCTGCCCGTATAGTTCGACCTCGACGCGTCCGCAGAGGACGCTGGTCGACGCGCCCGCAGAGGACGCTGGTCGACGCGCTCGCAGAGGACGCGGTCGACGAGCTCGCAGAGGACGCGGTCGACGAGCTCGTAGTCGACGAGCTCGTATAGGATACTGGTCGACAAGTCCGTCGAGGAGTTCGGTATAGGAGCTCCTCGACGAGGCCGGTAGAGGAGCTCCTCGACGAGGCCGGTATAGGAGCTCCTCGACGAGGCCGGTAGAGGAGCTCCTCGACGAGGCCGGTATAGGAGCTCCTCTACGAGGCCGGTAGAGGGCTCGTCTCGACGAAGGCTGTTCGACGGAGCAGCGTCGAACCACCCGACCGAAGCTGCTCGCCTGCGAAGGTCGCAGTTGTGCGCGAACTTCGACTTGCGGAACGGCATCACTTGCTCGACGGTGCACCGCTGGCGAAACCGTCGACACGTGTTCTACCTGGCACCTGCGCAATGTGCCTGGCGGCGCGACCGTCTACCTGCACCTACTCGGTAGGTGCGCACATGCGCAGAGGATCACCTGCCTATGCAGCGCTGGCAGACCGCTACGGTGCAACGCTGGCAGACTATTCTGCTGCAGCGTTGGCAAGCCGCTCTTCTGCTGCGCTGGCATAGTTCGCCTTGCAGAGGGCTTGCTAGGTGTTGCAATGCCATTCTAGCTATATCGACTTGCATGCCTCATTGTAATCTAATGTTCTCTCAATTTCTTAGTGAAACTCTTGCCAAATGTCCGTGTGAACACAGCAAGTAGTGAGAACGCCTAATGCAACGCTACGATTACCCGCACAACCCCGTGCCTTCCTCCGTGGTCTACTCCCGTTGTATAGTGACTCTCCGCAAAATTGTGTTACGGATGCAATGGAGTGAGGGAACAAAGATTGCACTATCGAAGCAAGAGTCCATTGAGCGAAGGAATGAGCGAATGTTAGATAGCGAAACTAGCGTGGTAACGGTAACGAGTAAATTGTGGGGTGCTCGACAAGCCTGTTGCCGAGGTTGGGAAATGTCGAGGCGGATGGTCGAAGCGCGGGTTACCAGCCGAACCGTGTGGTTGGGGTGCGATGGGAATAGTGGCGGGAGCACTGGTCAATGCGAATGTCGCGTGGTGGTAACGGTTCACTGTTGGGGTGTTGTGGCGGGAACAGGCGGGTACGCGGTAAGCAGGGACGCAAGTAAGGAAAAGGGAATCTCCTTACACTACCCCTCCCCAAGGGCCCCTTTACGAAAGGGCGTGTATATCGCGGAAGTTTCGGCTTCGCAGGTACTCAGTGAGGATGGGGTGGTTCTCGATTTTATCCATGGGGGCCCAACTGTCCTTCGTGGGCGTGCGTTCCTTCCACCGTATCAGAAACTGGATGCGTCGTGCTCCACGTGGGTCGCGAACTCGGTGGCTCAGAATCTTGTCGGGGGTGATGATTGGCTCGGTTGGCGGGCGTGTCATGCTTGACGGGTGGCTGCGTGGCAGTTGGCTCGTCGATGGGACGTAGGGGCGGAGGAGGCTGGCGTGGAAGGAGGGACTGGCGTACCAGTCAGCGGGCAGGAGGAGGTGGGCGGTGATGGGGGTGATCATGTAGCTGATGTGAAATGACCCGCACTATCTTGGGCGCAATTTTGGGGTGATGGGCAGGCGGATATTTTGGGTGTCGAGTAATACGAGGTCGTCGGGCTGGTAAGTGACGGGGCGGCGGTGGCGGTCGGCGTTGCGCTTAGCGATGACGTTCGAATTTTTTATGGCTTCAGCTGCTCGGGTCCGGGCTGCTTGTAAAATCTCGGCTAACTACTGCGCACGTGGTACCGGGTTGCCGGGATTCGGCGTCATGGGCACAGTTGGGTTGTGTCCGTAGTTGAGGTAAAAGGGTGACTGCTGCGTGGTTGCTGACGTGGAGTTGTTGTACACGAACTCTATGAGCAGCAACTGCTGCTCCCACGTCGTCGGGTCGTCGCACGTGGCTTGAATTAATTGCTCCATGGTTTGACTGGTCCGCTTCGTCTAACCGTCGGTTTCGGGGTGGTATGATGAACTGCATTGTAGTCGTGTGCCGAAATGTTGCCACAGGTTCCGCCAGAAGTTGCTGGTGAATTTCGTATCGCGGTCGCTGATGATCGCCGCGGGTTGTTAGAATAACGAAGCGAGAATGGTGAAACTAACGGCATGCAGGAGTGTCAGAATCAGTAATCGAGAATGAATGAACTAGCAGCAAGATGGGTACAAGTAGCAAACCCTAATTGAGTTGTACCCCATATGGGCTACCCCACTATAGCCTACACAATAAGCAGCATATAAGTTTGACACACCCCCATAGGCAAAGTGGGGGAGAACAAGAGGTCACAAGACCGGTCAAGAAAAGCAAAGCAAGCTCAGGGTGGATCACGAAGTCACCACGCATTCTGAGCACAAGCAAATGGCCACAAGGCCAGTTCACATGCAGAGTTATATAAAAGAGAACAAGCAGTACAGTGATCACAACCTAGGAAGTGTAAGCATGCAGGTATAAGTATATAGATCACAGTACAAGCAAAGTCAAGAAGTGAGCAAGTGAGGCCAAGTAGGCACAAGGCCTAGAACAATACAGAAACGCTGATGATCACAAGGCTGAAGTGCCTTGGTGAAGATATCCGCAGTGTTGGCCCGAGAGGCCACGTAAGCAAGACGAAGCTGACCACGCTGCTGCAACTCTCGAGCAAGGAAGTAGCGCAGAGCGATGTGCTTCGTTCTGTGCTCCAGTCTGTGCTCCTGGCACATGGCAAT